AGGGGGCCTTCTGTAAGGATAAGAGAGTCAATCTATCAATATTTACACATCTAACAACAGAGATACAAAATATGTAAAGCAAAGCTGAAAGAACTGAAGAGAGAAACAGAGAATTCACCAAGAATAACCGGAAACATCAACATCTCATTCTCAACACTGCACAGAACTGTGCAGCAGAAATAAAGGAAATAAACATTCAAAAAGCACAACAAGCCAGCTGGACCTACCAGATACCTCTGGAACACTCCATTCAACAGCAGTATAACACAGAGTCCTTCTAACACATTATTGACCAGGGGATCTTTGTAGAAACCAACACCTGTGTCAGATAATTTGTTATATAAGTGAATATTGATACATCTCAGATCAATACCATTTGGGTAACAAAAGACATATTAATACATCTCTGGTCAATAAGTTGTTATGAGAACAGGAAATATTTTCCAGGACAGACCATATTCTAGGCCACTAAACAAGCCTCAATAAATTTAAAGGGATTCAAATCATACAAAGCATGTTCTCTGAGTAAAAGGGAATGAAGTTAGACCTCAGTGACAAATCTGAGAAATCCACAAGTGTTTAGGCTAATGGATCAAACAGTAAATTATAAGGTAAATTAGAAAATACTTTGACATGAATGACAAAGAAGAAACAGCACTGCCAAAACTTAAGAGTATGCAGTCAAAGCAGTGAATTCCTAGAAAAATAGAAACTACCAAAACTAACTCAAGAAGAAACAGAAAACTGCATAGATTTCTAACAAGAGATTAAATTAAGCCCAAGTGCAGATGGCTTCTCTGGTGAACTTCACCAAACATTTAAAGAAGAATTACATTTGACCCTCAAACAACTGAACAGTCAGGGGTGCCAAACCACCACACACTCGAAAATCCAAGGTAACTTTACAGTGGGCCATCCACATCTGTGGTTCCATATCTGTAGATTCAACTAACCACAGACCGTGTAGTAAGTACTGTTGTTGTTTTTCAGTCACTAAGTCAAGTCCAACTCTGTGACCCCCATAGACAGCAGCCTGTAGACTGCAGCCTGTAGAAGGAAATGGCAACCCACTCCAGTACTCTTGCTTGGAAAATCCCAAGGACAGAAGAGCCTGGTGGGCTACAGTCTTGTATCTGTTGTTTAGTCACTACGTTGTGTCCAACTCTTTTGCAACCCCATGGACTGTAGCCCACCAGGCTCCTCTGTCCATGGGATTTCCAGGCAAGAATACTGAAGTGGGTTGCCATTTCCTTCTCCAAGGGATCTTCCCAACTCAGGAATCAAACCCACATCTCCTACACTGGCTGACGGATTCTTTACCCTTGAGCCACCTGGTAAGTCAAGTACTGTAGTGCATATACACTGAAAAGAAATCCACCAGTGCAGCTCAAACCCATGCTGTTCAAAGGTCAATTTAACATCAAATCTACACAAAGTCTTCCCAAAAAGTAGAAGAGGAAGAAACACTCCCCACTTATTATACAAGGCCGTTATACCTCTGACACAAAAACTAGGAAGACATCACAAGAAAGGAAAGCTACAGACCAATAGCTCTTATAAACACAGACATAGGAATTCTCAAAATACTAGCAAATCAAATCCAGCAAGATATGAAAAACGATTACACATGGTAATCAGCTGAGATTTATCCTGGGTATGCAAAATGGGTTGCAAAATGAATAAACTAGGAAGAGAAGGGAAATTCCTTAGCCTGATAAAGGCACCTCTAAAAACCCACAGGTAACACCATATTCAATGGTGAAAGGCTGAAACTTCTCCCCTGAGATCAGTAACAAGACAAGGAGGTCTGCTCCTCTCACTTCTATCCAGCATCAAGTGTTAGAGATTCCAGCAAGGACAATTAGGCAAGAAAGTGAAATACAATGCATCTATATTTAAAAGGTGGAAGCTAAACCACCTGTATTTACAGGTAACATGACCCGCATGAAAATACTAAGGAATCTACTTAAAACTATTAGAACTCATCAGTGAATTCAGCATGGCTGCAAGACATTAAGAAAATACAAAAACCAACTGTGTTTCTATTTATCAAGAGAATTTCTTTTTTGGTTTCTTTAGTCACTAAATTGTGTCTGACTCTTTGTAAACTAATGGACTGTAGCCCACCAGGCTCCTCTGTCCATGGGCTTTCCCATGCAAAAATACTGGAGTGAACTGCCATTTCTTTTCCCGGGGGATTTTTCCGACCCAGGAATGGAATCCACGTCCCCTGCATGACAGGTGGATTTTTCACCACTGAGACACCAGGAAAGCAACAAAAGAATACACAATATAAAAATGAAACTGAAAAAAAAAAAAAAAAGTGAAACTGACAATTCAATTTATACTAGCATCAAAAAGGATAAGACACTTTAGAATAAATTCAATGAAGGAAGTACAAAACTTATATTCTGAAAACTACAAAAGATAAAATTAAAGAAAGTAATGAAGATCTAAATAAAGACACCCCATGTTCAAGAACTGGAATACCATTAACATGGCTATATGCCCCAAACTGACCTACAGATTCAATTCATCTCTATCAGAATCTCAGCCAGCTTCTTTGTGGAAACTGACAGACTGATCTTAGAATTCACAAGGAACTGTAAGGGGTCCAGAACAGTCAAAACTATCTTGAAAAAGAAGAACAAAGTTGAAGAACTCACAATTCCCAGTTTTAAAACTTACTACAAAGCTATAATAATCAAGACAGTGTGGTCCTGGCACAAAGACAGACATCAGTCAATGTATAGAATTGAGAGTTCAGAAATAAACATTTGGGTTTATGGTCAGTTCATTTTTATAAGGGTGGCAAGACAATTTGACGGGCACTGGACCACTGGGCGGTCAGATGCAAAAGGATGGGAGATCCTTATCTAAATCCACATATAAAATGAACACAAAATACCTAAATGTAAGAATTAAACCTATAAAACTCTTAGGAAAAAACATGGCAAAACAGTGACCTTGGATTAGACTATGTCTGCTTCAATGTGACACCAAAGCACAAGGAACAAAAGAAAAAATAAACTTCATCAATATTTAAATCTTTTGAGCTTCAAAGAATACCATCAACAAAAGACAACAAACAGAATGGTAAAAAAAAAAAAAGATATCTGCATATCATGTATCTGATAAGAAACTTGTATCTAGGATAAAGAACTCTTAAAACACAAAAATGGAAAGAAAAAGAACCCAATTTTAAAATGGGCAAAGGGTCTGAAAAGACATTTCTTCATGGAAATAAAAGAAATGGCCAACAGGCCCACTAAAAGATGCTCAACATCATCAGCCACCGAGAATCTCAAATCAAAACCACAATGAGAGGGACGTCCCTGGTGGTCTGGTGGTTAAGACTGCGCTCCCAATGCAGGGGCCCCGGTTTGATTCCCGGGTGGGAAACTAAGAACGCATGCGCTGCACAGAGAGCCAATATAAATAAATGAAGAGACATTATCTGAAACAGACACACAATTAGACGCCACCTGACACCACAAGGAGGGCTACCTACAGAGACATATAATGGCAAATGCTGGCAGGGACAAGGAAAAATCGGACCCTGCACACACTGAAGTTTGTAATGGGATGTGAAATGGCGCAGTCACTGCAGGAAAAGGTCTGGCAGTTCCTCCAAAGGTTAAACAGAGCTGCCATGTGACTCACAGGATAAACAGATAAAGTGTGGCCTATCCATACAATATTACTTGTAATAAAAAGATATGAGGTACAGATAAATTCTGCAACGTGGGCATGTGCTCAGTCGAGTCTGACTCTGGGGCTGCAGCCCCATGGACTGGAGCCCACCAGGCTCCTCTATCCATGGGATTTCTGAGACAAGAATACTGGAGTGGGTTGCTATTTCCTTCTCCAGGGGATCTTTGCAATCAACTCGGGGACTGAACCTATGTCTTCTGCATTGGCAGGTGGAGTCTTTAAAACTGAGCCATCTTGGAAGCCCACTGCAACATGAATAAATCTTAAAAACACTAAGTGAAAGCAGTCAGTCACAAAAGGCCAAATAATGCATTATTCCACCTGTAGAAGCATCCAGAGTTGACAGATGTCCACAGACAGAAAGTAACCCCACAGGTGCCTCCGGATGGCAGGGCTGGGAGAATGGGGAGTGACTGCTCATGGGCTTGGGGTGTCTTTGGGGACAAGATGTTCTGAAGCTAGTGACGGCTGCATAACTGTGGACATGCTAGAACTACCGAAATATACACCTCAGGGTATATCACATCTCAACACAGCTGGCACTGGCTCAAACACAAAGGTGCCAGCCTCCTGGGACACACTTTCTCACACGATACCCACATTGGGGTTCTTTCACTGGTGAATTTGTGTTCATGTTTAACGAGGCAACCACTAGCCGAGAAAGCCCCTGGCATAATCATCAAGGTGGTCTGTGAACCTGAAAAGGTTTTTTAAGACCACTGTTCTGGGAACCATTTCACATTTCACAAAGTTAAACACAGGGTCACCACACAACCCAGTAAGTCCTCTCCCAGGTGTATATATGCCTAGAGTAACAAGAAAGCTATGTCCACAGAGCCTTATAACTTATGTTCACAGTAACCTCAAAGTAGATGCCCATCAAATGATGTCTGGATAACTAAAACGTGGCCCAGCCTCACGATGGAATACTATTCAGCCAGAAAAAGGGATGGAGACTGGATGTGTCTATAGCATGGATGAACCCCAGAAACATTACTCAGCTTAAGAAAAAGGCCACATGTTGCAACATTTGAAATACACAAAACAGGCAAATCCAGAGAGACAGAAAGTCATTCCCATGTTTGCTAGGACTCGGGGGACAGGGGGATAGGTTGGGAGATGACTGCTGATGGGCATGGGGTTTCTCTGGAATCAGGATGTGAACAAATCATAAACCACTGAACTGTATACACTGTACCGGTAACTTTTACAGGTTGCAAATTACACTTCCATTTAAAAAGCAAATTCCTTGATACCACAAACATGAATCAGATGTGTAAACTTACCAAAATTCTTTTACGGTCCTTTTCTGATAAAAATTTTACTGGCGGGTATTTCTGGGTGAAGCTGTAGAGCATAAAGAGATTATAAAAGAAAAAGTCAAAACATCTGTGTATTTTCTCTATTTGGCCCCACAACAAATGCGGATGTGAGAACTGCTACTGTCGGCTCCCCCTCCTCTCCAAATGAGCGCTGTAGGAACCAAGCCCTCACTGGCTAACTTGAGTTCAAGATGAACCTGCTTCTTGTCTAGGATCAAACAGGTGTGACAAGAGATGTTATCCCTGGGTGGGGAAAATCGAAGGATGACCGAACTACCGGCAGCCAGAGCTAAACACAAACCAGATAACACAGCACTGAGATGCTGGGCCCGGGCCGGGGAGGGAGACCCAGCCCAGCCAACTGTGCCTCTGAGAGTAAGAGAGGAAGGTGCTGACCACAACTCCCCCTGCCTATTCCCTGACTGGGCAGCTTCACGATTCCAGCCTCCCCTGCCCAGAGGCCTCAGGACAAAGTGACTGGCAATCAGCCCTTTCTACCCACCGGGGCCCATCTGATTCAGTCTTGAGTCTCGTCTTAGCTTTCAATGTCTCCCACACCCATGAAGGCACCACCGGTCCCCCAACCCACACGGATGTCCCAGGACCTGTGTAGCACAAAGGGCACAGAAAGTATCAAATGAGAGTCGACAAACACAGATTTGAAATATCCCCTTAAAATGACTCAGTCAGAAACAAAAGTGCTTTAAAGAAACGTGGAGAGACCAACTCTGGAGTCATTATTTTAATTGGAGAGATGCTGGGCGAGGGCCCAGCCTCCATCCCTTTCACCTCCCCAGCACACCCAAGATATGGAACACATCTTCTCTGTGCTGGTGGAACTGGACAGAGCAGGACAGGTCCTCGGACCGACACCGGGGCTGGGAGCTGGGCATGGGGGGCTGGGGGGCCTCTGACAGGGCACGTGATTTCCCCCACAAGCACTTCCAGACTCTCAAGACGTCAGTTCCCTTTGCAGACACCAAACACAGGCAGGCAAGTGGGAGATGCCCAGGGGGTGGATGAGAATTCCACACCCACAGTTAGTTTTGGGACCCCCACTCTCACCCCTGGAGAAAGACCCCCAGGTGCTCCAGGCACATAGCAGCTTCCTGCTCCATGAAGCCAAAGCAACCCACAGGCCGCCTGAGCTCTGGCTGCCACGCAAATGCCTGATGCAGTGGAGTCGGGGAGGACCGCAAAGCCAAGCCCAGCACTGGCCAGGGCACCCTCACACCTGCCCAGCCCCCTTCTCCGAGGACCCCACACCCCTTGCTCCAGTCCGGGTCTGAGCTCCCAGCAGCTTCAGGCACAGCTGACCCAGCGCCATCCCACCTCCCAGGCCTGCCAGTCTATGCCTTCTCCAGGTCCTCCTGACACCTCCCTTCCCTCACCCATTGAGGTTCATCCCCTGCAGTGTTTATAGACAGTGTCACCAGGAATGGACCAGGGCTACACTTGGGACAGAAGGGGCGGGAGGAACAGAGGGTAAGGCAGGGGTGGGGGTGGGGTGCCAAATGTGGATGCTGAAATCGACGTTCATCCAAGTGATGAGCTTAGAACAGTACCTGAGTGAAAACTTAATATGAAATTAGATACGCTATGTATACATGGGGCTTCCTTGGTGGCTCAGTGGTAAACAAATTTCAATCCTGCCAATACAGGACACACAGAAGATGTGGGTTCGATCCCTGGGCTTGTAAGATCCCCTAGAGGAGGAAACAGCAACCCACTCCAGTATTCTTGCCTGAGAATCCCATGGACAGATAAGCCTGGCGGGCTACAGTCCATGGGGTTACAGAGTCAGACACAACTGAGCAACAATAATTTACACCAGGCAGAAACAGCAAACATTTTCCTGCAGGAAATACACTTAAAAGAAAACTGCTTCAAAGAGTGTGTGTTAAGCCTCTGGTTTACCAAACACGAAAACACAACACTGGCTGGGTTTCGTGCCTTGTTTCTCTTCCATGTATAGCGACTGAGTTTCAGACTCCACGTGTGTGATTGCTACTAAACTTTGAAAAAATTATCTCACAGCCCTCATTTCTTGCTTTGAGGACCCTGGGCACAGAGCTCCAGGAGCCAAGCAATGGCCCGCCCAGGCCACAGTGACAGAGCTGGGTGACCAAGGTGGCCAGGCCCGGAGCCCCGTGCTGGGTGGGCCAGGCAAGGGCAAGGCATGGGCTTCTTCTAAGCCTGGAGCCCCTTTAAAACTGCTCAGGTGCTGGCTCAGCCACGCATCTGTGTATTCAAGCACCTTCTCCTGGGCACCTATTCTAGGCCACGCCCTGTCCTGGGGACACAGTGGCAACACGGCAGACGTGGGAGGCTGCCCACCAGAGGCTACGTTTCTGAGTGACAAGCAGTGAGAAGACAGGAGGAGTTGTGAATTCAGTAATAATGGACCATCCCTCACCCCCAAATCAATCCTGCTGTCATTATTTACCCCATTTCAGACTCGAAACTTCCTGTTTATTAGCACAGCCTCAGTACTTAAGAATTTTTTTTTTTTTTTAATCAAAGGTTTTATTTTTTTGGCCGTGCTGCACAGCATGTGGGATCTTAGTTCTCCAACCAGGGATCAAACCTGTGCCCCCTGCAGCGGAAGCTCAGAGTTTTAACCACCGGACCACCAGGCAAGTTCCTAGAATTTTAATTAGCATTGAAAGTGAAAGTGTTAAGTCGCTCAGCGCTTGTTTGACTCTTTACAACCCCACAGACTGTAGCCCACCAGGCTCCTCTGGCCATGGGATTTCTCAGGCAAGAATACTGGAATGAGTTGCCATTTCCTTCTCCAGGATACCTTACTGACCCAGGGATTGAACCCAGGTCTTCTGCACTGTAGATGGATTCTTTATCATTTGAGCTACAAGGGAAGCCCTAAGTAGCTTTAATACCTGCTATCTGTCCAAAGAATATTTAAAGATGGGGAGATGGAATCAAGCACATAATCAAGTTATTAGGGTGTGTGATCAGGAAGACAGAAAGACTGCAGAGTCACAACACTGTGGATCGACTATACTTCAGTAAAATTTAAAAAAGAAATCAAACTTGCCTGCATATGAGAACGACTCGGGGAAATCTGCAAACCCCCAAAGCTCAGCATGCATGCCCAGTTACATCATAATTTAAGGGAGTAGGGTCCAGGGGGTCAGTACTCTTTTCTTAAAAGAAAAAAGGTCCATAGAGTCCACAACCCAGGCTTCTGAGACAGCACTGATCCCTGAGTCTCCCTGTGTAAACTGGCCCTGACCTCTCAAATGTATCCTTTCTTCTTGTGGGCCCAGTGCCCCCATGTAATAAGTTCATGTTCCGTCCGGAGACGTTCTTATGCTGCCACGCAGCAGGATGGTTGCGTGGACATTCCTAAAAGTCAGGAAACATGAAACTAGACAGAGCTCTGTCAGTTTCCACCACAAGGTCACATCCACATCTGACTTTCTAACTCCAACAGTAACCTGGTCAGTCAGATGCCACCTGCCTGGCTCAACTACCTGGGGGACAGAACCCTTCAGGATAAGTCACCAGGGAAGCAGCCCCAAGTCACAGGTGACTCTCATGTTTGACAGGAACGAGTCACCAGAAAATTCGTTAGGATGACGGTCATATGTGTGGTACCAAAAGGAGTCATGCAATTCTCATATTTCAAGAGATCCTGCATGCAAAGCCACTGTCTTAGAAAAGTTACCCAAATGATTCACTTTCTTTTCAAAAAAGTTAATGTGAAAATGATCACTGGTGGGCAGATTTTTTTCTCTTTCCGCCAACCTAAAACTTGTGGTGGGTTTCTTCTTAAACTGTTTATTTTAAAGCTTCAATTAAAATTGCTCAAACTATGGCAGTCCTGTCAAAGGCAGGATTTCTGGATCCCATCCACTGAAATGTTATAGGCAGTGTAAGTTTAGCACAAAATGGTGGCAAGAAAGATTAAACCACAAATAACAGGTACACGTACCTCTTTTCCAAATCTCTGATTTTCTCCCTTAGTGGTTCAATGATCTGAAACAAAAATAACCAGAATCAGTTTTAAAGCAGAAACAGTCCTCCAGCACTTCCACCCACTCTGACGTTCCAGGAGGATGGGACATGACACAGAACGGATTTCCAATTACTTCTACGATCCACCTCCAGCTTGAAATGAAGTCAGAGCCCCTAAGTCACAATTCCAGAGCCAAGATGCTGAACTGCATGCTGGAATCTCTGACTCCAGAGACATCTGAACTCTGAGGAAATTCACCTTCCAGACCACACAGGCCTCGTTCGAGGTGGCGCGGGCTCACAAAAGCAGGTGAATCTCCAACCCTGCCTCTCTTCACGTGAGACAGAGAACCGCCAGGAGCTGCCTGTGTGCCACCTGCCGTCAACCCAGCAGACACGTCCACCGCACCCACATGTCAGGGCCGGGGCTGCCCGGAACGACCAGCACGTGGCTCCAAATCCTGGTAAGCGACCCCCCACCAAGTCCGTGTTACAACAGTCTGTCCTCACAGACACTGGACTAAAACATAACCAACTGTTCTAAACAGAAAGTGTGGAGCAGGCCAGACACCCCAGCTCTCGTCGAGCACCCCCCCCAACCTGCGTGTCCCCGCTGCCCTGAGAGCTCCCAGGGTCCTGGCATCTGAGTCCCGCCATGTTCCCAACTACACCAGCTCAGGTGAGCTGAGGCGGACCCCTGTCTCCATCCAGGTAAAGATCCTCACTGCCCTTTCTCTTTGGAACCCTGGGAAGGCTCCCCTGAAAAGTCACATAAAAGCGTGAACCCATCTTGCCTGTGGGGCAGAATTTAACATGCCACACCATTATAAACGGGCAAAGCTAACACAGAGGTGCATCCACAGCCTCACAGACAGCAAATCTCCTCTTAAATAAGGTAGTGGATCATGGTTGGCATGATGTGGCCACAATAAGGTACCAGCACAGACAAAGGCACTAAGTGGAGAGACAGCAGACAGGTGGGAACAAAACAGAGAGGAGACTCACCTCTTCAATCCTGCTCTCAATTCTCAGCTCCCCGTTTTCCTGGATGGACCTGTTGAGCAGAACACTGCAAGACTGAGATAGACTGAAAGGCTCTGTGACCGCGAGGTCTACTTCTGAACAAATCACCCCAACATGCAGCACCAGTGCAGACCACTGCCTCCTCCCAAGCAATGAGCCCAGCCCCACCCGCTGAGGGGAGGCCAGGCGACCAGACAACTTGAGGGGTGGGTCTCCAGGGATCACAACCACCTCCGGGGTGTTTCTGCTAAACTAAGATTGCATCACTTTCCCGTGATGCCCAATGTGCGATTTTAAATCAGAGGCAGGAAGTGTGCCTACAGGAGCACAAGTTCCTGCTGGGCTGTCCTGGGATTTAAGGCAAAGTGGAATTTTTCCAACTGAAAAGACTGAGCTCCTTTAATGGGACCTGAGCAGCCCTCCAGCCACACACAGAGGCCTCTGTTGGCAGACACACACCAGCCAAGGGGGAGGAGTCGTTCGCCGCAGCCCCACCCGCCCTGCAAACCCCACTGGGCAAGCCGAGCGGGCGGGGCAGAGCTCCCCTCCCCACAGCCCTGCGGCCCCGCTGTCACCACAATGTGACTGCTGTTCTCTACCCTCACACAAGAAGTACGAAGTGGAGAGGGCTGCTCTTTAAATGTGAAATTGTACTCATGGCACCAAATCTGGTGTTACAGTGAATGCCTATTACTTTGACTGATCTTTTTTAAGAAGCAACAGCTGACACAGGATTCGACTTTTACAAGGGCCCCTCGTTCTCTGTTGAGCAGCACAAACGATGCCCACCTAGAGTGGAAGGTCCTCGGGCCTCCCCTCCCCTGTGACCGAAGGTGATCTCAGCATCCACTGGTCTGCTCCTAGGGTGGTGGGCAGTCTCGGTTTCCCTAATAGGCTTAGGAAAGGCACCCCAGCACTCGCTCTAACCACCCAGAAATGCCATTTACATCTCAGGAGCCTGAAAGCCAGGAAGGCGGGTGCAGACAATACCAAGGAGGCACCACTGCTGCCCAGAGACCCCTCTTCTCATCTGGGCTGACCTGGGGCAGCCTGAACACTAGCTGCATCCTCCAGAGCATCCAGGAGAGAGATGCACACGGGTGTGTGAGCAGTGAGGAGCTCAGTTCCACTTTTACACTGTCTTCAAATTGGCCTGTGCCGCCAAGGTATGTGTGTAACTGGTGTCATTTCAGCCCAAAAGTAACAGCCAAGTTATTAAAAATCAATTACCTCATGTTAACCAAGTTGCCCCAAACAGCTGTAAGAGAAAGAAAAAGGAAAAGTCAATATTTAAGTTTGCAACGTTCAAGGACTCCAACTAATACAACATTAATTTTTAACCTATATCTTATAGCACAGTAAGAACACTATAGCTCACGAAGACAGTAAAATGCACACTTTTAAAATAATAAGCCCTACTAAACTTAAGTGGGAAGATGATCCTATATATCTCCTAATTTAGAGTAACATTTTGGGACCTGGAGTGCAATGGTGCATGTGCCTTTTTTTTTTTTTTTTTTAAGGTTCCTTTTGGGGGTGGGGGCAGGGGGTATCTGGACCATTTTTAAAGTCTTTATTGAAATTTGAATATTATAATACTGCTTTTGCTTTGTTTTTTTGGCCACAAGGCATGTTGGATCTTAGCTCCCTGAGCAGGGATCGAACCCACGCCCCCTGCATTGGAAGGCAAAGTCCCAACCACTGGACACCAGGGAAGTCCCGGGGCAGGCGTTGTGATATCAGTATGTCCAGCCTTTGGGGATGAGCCAGTCACAGAAATCAAAGAACCACGTGAACAAATGAGATGCCAGGGCTCAGTTCCACCGCTTCCACCAAACGTCAATGAGACCCAGAGAAACTGCAGGTGGCTGACTCTGTGGTCGGCCCTCACTCATCTCCCCTACATCGGCTACCCAGCGGGGCTACCTCCTGGGTAGCAGACACCTGAGTAACTGTGAACCACTTATAACTATTTCAGCAGGGGGGACCACTGAGACAGGAGACCGTGACACCCACTTGAAGCTCCCAGAGAGTTACTTCACAAAGAAACCTTCACAGAGAATGGTGTGGCTGATGCTCTGTCCACATCCCAACGCGGGCCCCATGTGGCCACTCCCCCAATACCTCTCACCTTCAAGGACCAGGTGCCCCTAGGTGCCGCCAGGTGCTGGGAGAGACAGAGAGCAAACACACACACCCTGGAGTCCAGGGCTGGCGAGTCTGTGAGCTTGGCTGGGGGGGGATGAGGCGGGTGGCGAGGTGAGGGGTGACCCCAGACACGTTCTCACTGCATCCTCAGGTACACAGAACGGATAACAATGTTCACTAGATAACTCTCAGGGTCCAAAATCACACCCCCCAGATTACACCCCCCCAAAGGAAATTCCCATTGTTAACAAAGGGGTGTTGAAAGCATAAAAGCACAGTCCTTGTTCAAACAGAAGAAACTATGATAGTAAAAGATAAGTAAGCAATAACTAAAAAGCGGCAAGTAAGCAAGAAATGGGAGAATTTTAAAATAGAGCTGAACTATTCACTATTTGGCCTTCCCTGGTGGCTCAGATCTGGTAAAAATCCACCTGCAGTGCGGAAGACCTGAGTTTGATCCCTGAGTAAGGAAGATTCCCCTGGAAGAGGGCACAGCAACCCACTCCAGTATATTCTTGCCTGGAATATTCAATGGACAGAGAAGCCTACGCCCATGGTGTCACGAAGAGTCAGACATGACTGAGCGACTAAGCACACAGCATATATTCACTATTCACTAAAAATATAAAAAATTTTTTATACTTTTGGACCATGTGACCTTACTTTTGAATATTATCCTCAGGAAATAATTATACACACAAGAAAGCTATCTTCACAAATGACTGCCTTATTTATAATTTAAAAAATGGTATAAATCAAAGTATCTTACAATTGGAGAACTATCATATAAAGTACGATATCAGTTCATCTCAGTTCATTCACTCGGTCATGTACAACTCTTGTGACCTCATGACTGCAGCACGCCAGGCTTCCCTGTCCACCACCAACTCCCGGAGCTTGCTCAGACTCAAGTCCATTGAGTCAGTGATGCCATCCAACCATCTCATTCTCTGTCGTTCCCCTTCTCCTCCCACCTTCAATCTTTCCCAGCATCAAGGTCTTTTCAAATCAGTCAGTTCTTCACATCAGGTGGCCAAAGTATTGGAACTTCAGCTTCAGCATCAGTCCTTCCAAAGAATATTCAGGACTGATTTCCTTTAGGACAGGCTGGTTGAATCTCCTTGCAGTCCAAGGGTCTCTCAAGAGTCCTGTCCAGCACCACAGTTCAAAAGCATCAATTCTTCAGCACTCAGCTTTCTTTATAGTCCAACTCTCATATTCATACATGACTACTGGAAAAACCACACCTTTGACTAGACAGACTTTGCTGGCAAAGTAATCTCTCTGCTTTTTAATATGCCATCTAGGTTGGTCTTCCAAGGAGCGTTTTCTAATTTCATGGCTGCAGTGATTTTGGAACCTAAAAAAATAAAGTCTGTCACTGTTTCCATTGTTTCCCCATCTATTTGCCATGAAGTGATGGGACCAAATGCCATGATCTTAAGTTTTCTGAATGTGGAGTTTTAAGCCAACGTTTTCATTCTTTTCTTTCACTTTAATCAAGAGGCTCTTTAGTTCTTCTTTGCTTTCTGCCATAAGGGTGGTGTCATCTGCATATCGAAGTTATTGATATTTCTCCCAGCAATCTTGATTCCAGTTTGTGCTTCATCCAGTCCAGCATTTCACATGATGTACTCTGCATATAAGTTAAATAAGCACGGTGACAACATACAGCCTTGATGTACTCCTTTTTCTATTTGGAACCAGTCTGTTGTTCCATGTCCAGTTCTAACTGTTGCTTTTTGACCTGTACACAGATTTCTTAGGAGGCAGGTAAGGTGGTCTGGTATTCCCATCTCTTTCAGAATTTTCCACAGTTTGTGGTGATCCACACAGTCAAAGGCTTTGGCACAGTCAATAAAGCAGAAGTACATGCTGTTCTGGAACTCTCTTGCTTTTTTGATGATCCAAGGGATGTTGGCAATTTGATCTCTGGTTCCTCTGCCTTTTCTAAATCCAGCTTGAACACCTGGAAGTTCACAGTTCACATACTGTTAAAGCCTGGCTTGGAGGATTTTGAGCATTACTTTGTTAGCGTGTGAGATGAGTGCAATTGTGCAGTGGTTTGAACATCCTTTGGCATTGCCTTTCTTTGGGATTGGAATGAAAACTTACCTTTTTCAGTCCTGTGGCCACTGCCGAGTTTTCCAAAGTTGCTGGCATATTGAGTGCAGCACTTTCACAGCATCATCTTTTAGGATTTAAAATAATTCAACTGGAATTCCATCACCTCCACTAGCTTTGTTCATAGTGATGCTTCCTAAGGCCCACTTGACTTTGCATTCCAGGATATCTGGCTCTAGGTGAGTGATCACACCACTGTGGTTATCTGGGTCATGAAGATCTTTTTTGTATAGTTCTTCTGTGTATTCCTGTCACCTCTTCTTAATATCGTCTGCTGCTGTTAGGTCCATACCATTTCTGTCCTTTATTGTGCCCATCTTTGCATGAAATGTTCCCTTGGTATTTCAGAATGAAATGAAGAGTATGGAATGAAACAGGGCAAAGGCTAACAGAGTTTTGCCAAGAGAATGCACTGGTCATAGCAAACACCCTATTCCAACAACACAAGACAAGACTCTACACATGGACATCACCAGATGGTCAATACCGAAATCAGATTGATTATATTCTTTGCAGCCAAAGATGGAGAAGCTCTATACTGTTAGCAAAAACAAGACCAGGAGCTGACTGTGGCTCAGATCATGAACTCCTTATTGCCAAATTGAGCCTGGAATTGAAGAAAGTAGGGAAAATCACTAGACCATTCAGGTATGACCTAAATCAAATCCCTTATGATTATACAGTGGAAGTGACTAATAGATTCAATGCATTAGATCTGATAGACAGACTGCCTGAACAACTATGGACAGAGGTTCATGACACTGTACAGGAGGCAGTGATTAAGACCATCACCAAGAAAAAGAAACGCAAAAAGGCGAAATGGTTGTCTGAAATGGTTGTCTCAGCTAGAAATAGCTGAGAATATGATATAGCCATTCATTTAATGAAATCATAAAGTCATTAAGTATGACTATAACTATTATCAAAAAGATAAGAGAACAAGTATTGGCAAGGATATAGAGAAAAGGGAACCCTAGTTCACTCACCATGGATGGGAATACAAAGTGGTGTACCATAGAAAATAGTATGGAGGTTCCTCAAAAAATTAAATACAGGACTACCATATGACCCAGGAATTCCAATTCTGGGCATTTATCCAAAGGCAATGAAAACACTAATTCAAAAGGATACATGCACCTACATGCTCTTAGCAGCACTATACAATAGCCAGGACATGGAAGCAACCTAAGTGTTCAAGAAATAAGGGTGGATAAAGAAGATGTGGTGAATATATGCAATGGAATATGTTTCAGCTGTAACAAGAAGGAAATCCTGACAAGTGCAGTAACATGGATGGATCTTCAGGACACCGTGCTAAGTGAAGTAAGTCAGGGAAAGACAAACGTACGATCTCACTTACGTGCGTGCATACTAAGTCACACAGTCATGTGCAACTCTTTGCAACCCCGTGGACTGTAGCCTGTCAGGCTCCTCTGTTCCTGGGATTGTCCAGGCAATCATACTGGAGAGGGTTGCCATGCCCTCCTCCAGGGGGTCTCACTTACATGTAGAATCTAAAGATGAACAACAAAAACCCAAGCTCACAAACACAGAGAACAGACTACCAGTTGCCAGAGGTGGAGGTGGGTGAAGTGGGTGAAATGGGTGAATGCAGTTAAAATAAATCCTAGGAACTGACACACACACTACTGTATTCAAAACAGAAAACTACTAAGGACTTAGTGCGCAGCACAGGGAAGTCTACTCAATGCTTTGTAACGACCTGTGTGGGAAGAGAAGGTCAGGGCAGACCTGCTCGCAGAGCCTCTGGCAGCGGACCCTCCAGTCCCGCTGAGTCCCAGCAGTCATCCCAGATAACACCATAAAGAGAACAGACTCTTCACACTCCCACCCCAGAGGGCTGTGAGCATGGTGAACTACTGCCGCTCCGTCCCACCAGGTCCTGAGATCGTCACTTACGCAGCACAACCACCAGAACCAGAGCACGGACGGGAACCTGGCCTTTAATTCCCTGTCGACCCTGGA